ACCTTCTATAGCGATGAGAACAGAACACAAATTGACCTTGTCCTTGTAAGGTACGGCAATCAGGGGGTCGTAACAGATGCGAAGACAGTTCCCTAAGAAACGGTCGCAACAAAACACCGACCACTGATTTGTACGTTAAAGATCGCCCCGCCGAAACCGAAATTAGCAGAAAGGTGCGGGCCAGCGAGAATCAAGTGGTGGCGACTGAAGGAGAAAGAAGCGGCCGTCGTCTCCAGCTTTCTATCACCAGCGGTAACATCTGTCGATGAAACTCGGAAGGAAGCTGCGGAAGCGATAACCCAGGTTGCGCGGTCGAAGCTCGGCATGACCAAGCTTGGACGGCGAAAGCTTGATAAGCGAAAATGGCTGTGGACGGACCATGTCAGAGATAAAGTCAGTGAGAAGAAAAAGCAGTACCATGCACTTTTTATCGAAAAGACAGTTGGCAACTGGCAGCGCTATCAAATAGCGAGGAAAGAGGCGAAGAAGGCCGTTGCTTCTGAGAAGGCAGCTCATTATGCCGATCTCAATAAAAAAACTCGAGTCTCGTGATGGTGAGCGGTACGTTTACCGACTCGCAAAGACCCGCAATCGCCAGGCTGAGGATATAGAAAAGTTCTTCGGTATGAATGACGAAAACGGCCACCTCTTGACGGACCGCAGGCAAACACTGAAACGATAGCGAGAGTACTTCGCAACGTCTCAACAGTGTAATTCTTTTCGATCTAAATTCGAATTTCGCGCCATCCCCTGCGCTCCGCCGGAACACGGTCCCGTTCAGAAGATAACCGCAAATGAGACCGTTACGGCTTTGAAGAAAACGAAATCAGGCAAAGCATGTGGTCTTGTCGGCTTAGCTGCGTACTTGTGGAAATCGAAAGGCTGCAATCCTGCAGGATGGTTGACGGAGTTCTTCAACCAGGTCGTTGCAGAGAGGAATGCCTGAGAGCTGGCAACAGAGCACGACGATTCCTATCTGGAAGAAGAAGGGCAGTCCTGGGGACTGCACTTGCTAAAGCCCAATTCGCTTGCTCTCGCACAGCGTGAAAAACTTTGAGCAAATTGTAGGCAGCCGTATCCCTGATATCGTCGAGCTGACCACTAACCAGTGTGGTTTTGTGGCTGGTTGTAGCACCATCGATGTCACACGCCACTCGCCTTCTTCTAGAAAAGCATCGCGAGAAACCAAGATCGGTACATCTTGCCTTTCTAGACTTAGAGAAGGTTTTCGAACGCGTTCCGCGTGACGTTATACGGTATGCCTTACAGCAGCATGGCGTTCCTAAAGAGGTCATCGTGTGGGTACGCATCCTTTACTCTAGTCCGAAGAGCCGACCGCAAATGGCAGCGGGCATATCGGAGTATTTTTCCATTTCCGTTGGGGTGGACCGCGGCTCTGCATTATCCCCACTATTATTTGGTGGTGTCATGGATACCACTACAAGAGACCTCCAGAAGCCAGATTCATGGGCTCTTCTTTATGCCGGTGACGTGATCCTCTCCAGCGAAGACGAAAGTGAGCTTGAGCAACAGGTGCAAGCCCGGTCCGACTGTCTGGCTGTGCTCGGACCGAGGTTGAACGTCAAAAAGACAGTAATTGAGAACCGATCCGAGCGAGCCAGGCTCTATTAAGATCAAAGGTACTGAGCTCACACGGACAACAACATTCAATTATCTTAGATTGGCAATTGCGTCTGACTGCAGCCTGGTTTTCGAAACGAATTCTCGCGTGAGTGCAGCTTGGTTGAAGTGAAGCTCGATGACTCTGCGATGAGAACATGCCTGAGCGATTCAAATCCAAGATATACAAAAGCGTCATCCGGTCGTTCGCAATTTACGGCGCTGAATGCTGGCCTGCAACCAAAGAAGTTGAAGCCCGTCTCAGTGTGATGGAGACCAAAATGCTGCGCTGGGCATGCAGTAACACGCTTAGACCGCATAAGTAATGATGCCATCAGGGAGCGATTGGGTGTAGCGCCCATTGTCGATAGAATGCGCGAAGCCCGTCTTCGATGGTATGGTCATGTTCCTCGCGCAACGAACGACAGTGTCCGTAAGACCGGTCTCAACCTTAACGTGTCCGTAAAGCGTCCTAGAGGGCGTCCAAAGCAGCGATGGCTCGATATGTTGCACAAAAACCTTTGAGTGGTTAACATCCACCTCGATCAAGTGTTCAGTCGGGAGAAGTGGCGTCAGCATATCAGAAAAGCGGACCATGCTTACAAGCGGGACAACTTACTTATACATACAGTATACTTGTACAGTTATACTTATACGGCTCGTCTTCACTCATGCGCGAGCACCAGCAAAAAACCATTCGCTTCTGTCCTTCGCGATCGCCATCCAC